GAGTACACTGACAAACTTGGGATCTAAAAGGATAATTGAATTTAACACAATCAATCTTATAAATTTAGTAAAGTCTCAGATCATACTTTAGAAAATTATAAGAATTTCCAAGTCCAGAATGAAAGGAGACTCACCTAGCACATATTTAAAAATAAATAAATTTTAATAGACCTTGGCAATCTTAATGGGCTCAATGAGTCAACAACATAATGTGGCTGCCAAAAAGCTACTGTGATTAGGAACTAACCGCACCAACATCAGTATCCCATCCAGAAGGAATGAGGCAACTGCCCTCTCTGCTACAAGCTGGTTAGAGCACATCTGGAGTATTATATTCAGCTGTGTTCCACATTTTGGGAGAGATACAGAAAGACTGAAAAAGACTAGAAGAGGGCCAGGCACAGTGGCTCATGCCTGTAATCCTAGTATTTTCGGAGGCTGAGGTGGGTGGATCACTTGAGGTCAGGAGTTCCAGACCAGCCTGGCCAACATGGTGAAATCCGTCTCTACTAAAAATACAAAAAGTAGCCAGGCATGGTGGCATGCACTATAATTCCAGCTACTCAGGAGGCTGAGGCAGGAGAATTGCCTGAAACTATGACGCGGAGGTTGCAATGAGCTGAGACGGCGCCACTGCATTCCAGCCTGGGCAACAGAGTGGAACTCCATCTCAAAACAAAAAACAAAAAAAACTAGAAGAGAAGTAACCAAGATAATGAGAAAATTTGAAAACATGTCACATAAAGACCAGTTGAAGGAGCTGAAGTTATTTAGCCCAGACTGAGAGGGATTATGATCCCTGTCCCCAAATCTGTAAGAGCTGTCAAGGCACAGAGACAGCCAACTTTTTCTGCATGGTCCCAACAGGCAGAACCAGATCAATCAGTTAACTAAAAGAAGAAATTTCAGCTAAGCCTATGGAAATATTTCTTCAAATGTAGAGTCACATTAGGAAGTAGTGGCATTTAAAGTCCTGTCTAACCCTAAGGGTCCATAATTTTAAAAATCAAACATTTGGGCCAGCGCGCGGTGGCTCTTGCCTATAATCTCAGCACTTTGGGAGACTGAGGTGGGAGGATAACCTGAGGTCAGAAGTTCGAGACCAGCCTGGCCAACGTGGTGAAACCCCATCTCTACTAAAAATACAAAAACTAGGCGGGCATGGTGGTGTGCACCTGTGATCCCAGCAACTGAGGAAGCTGAGGCAGGAGAATCGCTTGAACCCAGGAGGCGGAGATGGCAGTGAGCCGAAATAATCGCCCCTCTGCACTCTAGCCTGGGCAACAAGAGCGAAACTCCGTCTCAAAAACAAACAAACAAACAAACATTTGTCATTACCTCAGTGTCTTACTGATTATTATTACCTCTAGTATCACAGCATCTCTCTTCACCCTGCTTAAAACGTTCTACCCAGGACCAGGCGCTGTGGCTCACAACCTGTAATTCCAGCACTTTGGGAGGCCAAGCTGGGCGGATCACCTGAGGTCGGGAGCCCAAGACCAGCCTGACCAACATGGAGAAACCCTGTCTCTACTAAAAATACAAAATTAGCTGGGCTTTGTGGCTCATGCCTGTAATCCCAGCTACTCGGGAGACTGGGGCAGGAGAATCGCTTGAACCCGGGAGACAGAGCTTGTGGAGAGCCGAGATCGCGCCATTGCACTCCAGCCTGGGCAACAGGAGTGAAACTCCATCTCAAAAAAAAAAAAAAGTCCTACCCAGCCAACCAATCAGCTGAATGTTTTGCTGGGTTTGTGGGAGAAAAAGTGCCTGCTTGCTGGGCAATTAGTTTCAGTTTGCAGATCAGTGTCCATGTAAACAAAAAAGGGCCCTAATTGAGGGGCAGGCAAGAGCTCTCAGCTAGATCTCCATGAAAGAAATTATTATTAATTCAAAAAGCATCTATAAGACCTATCCAATCAAATAATATATTATCAATGGCACTTAGTTCTTACAGGAACGTTGAAATTAAAAAATACTGTACAACCATCTTCTCAAATGCCAGGGAATCCAACTTTGCAAGCCAAACCAGTTGTCTCAAATTCAATGATAAGTTTTCCTTCTGCCAAAGAGATATGTTTTCTGTTTAAAGCAAACTGGAGCCCATGCTCCATACTTGATCAGATCATGGTAAAGTCAGTTTAGCCGCTGAGAACTAGATACTGGCAATCCAGACTGAATTCACAGAGAAGTACAAACTACCTAATATTTAAAACACAGGAAAGTTATTGAAACTGGACATCCTTCTAAAAATTTTCACCCAAAGACTACCACAGACGTAAGTATAATGTTCGTTCATGAAAATTACTAAAAGCCTTGAACAGTTCAGATGACAAATACTATTCAATCCAGCTTTACTGCAGTTTAAATTGAATTGGATTCTAAGTAACTCCAGTGAAAGTATTAGAGAATATAGTAAATATATGATGGACTTAACAAAAATACTCTGTGCTGCTTCCTCTCTGTGCTTTTTAAAGTGAAGCCTAGAAGCAATCTAAGTGTCCATAAATAAGGGCTTGGTTAAATAAATTATGATACATTCTTACCCTGGAAAATGCAACTATTAAAAAGAATAAAGTAGGCCCTAGATACTGACATTTTTTTTTAAAGTCCATGATACCTAGTTAAGTGAATAACAAGTGGCAAAACATGTAGAGAATTATTCCATTTTGATTTTTTAAAATCTATTTTTAAATACCCTGTGTGTATGTTCATATATGCCCAGCAAAAACAGCTGAAAAAGATCCGACAAATTGCTAACAGTAGTAACCTCTAGGGACTGACTGAAACTAGGAGGCAGTGAAGGAGTGACTTTCCCTTTTTCCTTTGTGGACTTCTGGTTGTTTATATTTTTTTGCCAGTAGGGGTAACCTCTGTGGTTGAAAAATAACAACATAAAAATAGTAAAAGTAAAATAAGATGAATTACACAGATCTACGTATCAGATACTAACCAAAGTGATCTTTCTTCTTAAATGCTACTGTATGCTTAAAACTCCGGAGAATCTAATTCATTCTTTTCCTATTATATTTTACTAAAACAAATAAAAATCACCACAAGTCCCTAATAGTTTTCTCAAATGCTTTCTATACACACACACACACACACACACACACACCCCCCACAGGCCTGGTCATAAGCATAGCTAACACACATGGAGCTTATTCTACACTAGGAACTGTTGTAAACACAGTAAGTGTTAACTTATTTAATCTTCCCAGCAGGCCTGGTGCAGTGAATCATGCCTGAAATCCTCGCAATTTGGGAGGCCAAGGCAGGAGGATTGCTTGAGTTCAGGAATTCAAGACTAGCCTGGGCAATATAGTGAGCCCTCATCTCTACAAAAAATACAAAAAATTAGCTGGGCGTGGTGACTCACGCCTATAGTCTCAGCTACTCAGGAAGCTGAGGTGGGAGGATCGCTTGAGCCTAGGCAGCAGAGGTTGCAGTGAGCCAAGATTGCGCCACTGCACTTCAGCCTGGGCAACAGAGCCAGACCCTGTCTCAAAAAAACAAAAACAAAAACAAAACAGTCTTCACAGCAACCTTATGAAGTAAGTACTACTATAATATTATCTTCATTTCACAATCGAAGAAACTGAGTCCAAAGAACTTCAGTGAGCCACCTAAGCTTACACAGCTAACAAGGGGAAGAGCTAGGATTCAAACCTAAGAATAAACTCCAGAGTCCATACTCTCAACCACTATGCTTCCTGTCTCTCAGTAATATGTCAGTCTTTCTATATGAAAGCCAAAAGGGGTTACAGGTAAAACCCAGCTAGCTAATGTGCTCCTTGAAGCTGGAAGAGATGCACACTTGGCTTTTTATGGGTGAATAATCCTACTTATGTCATTGCCAAGCTCCAACCCAAGGCTCAAGACTGTATTAAGGCTCATAACCACGTGGGAAAATTCTCTACACACTCAATTATAGTCCAAAGTCCATACCTGACTTCACAGTAAATCACTAAGCCTAAGATTTAGGTCAGAGATCCAGCTAGACAAACGATTTGGACAAATCTCCACCCCAACTCAAAGCAAGAGAACTCAAACTTTTGCCCAACATCTTGACAAGGTAGGTTTTCGTTTTGTTTTGTTTTAGTTCTAGGCCCACTTTAGATTTAAATGGGGAAAGAATAGGAGTTGTCTCTAACTTTGCTTGAAGACTTCAGCAAGAAAAGCTTTTTCTACATGGGCTCAAACAGAAATTGGCATTTATCAGCATCAGCAAAGTTGAACATCCTGGCTTAAGGAGACAAAAATAGGCATCCTTGCTTAAATTGTGTATTTGTCCAAACATGTTGACCTTATAATTGTGGAAGAAAAAAATGGTGCGAGGAAGAGATTTAACCTAATTTGTAAATGTGCTCAGCCTAGATACACACCTGTCCCAAATGACCTACTGAATCCACTTATGTGCAGGGACAACATGAATTACAATGCCTTTTTTGTTTTTTTGTTTTGCCCTCAAGTGGTCCCTACTACTGTTTGTAAACAAAATCCTCTCACTACCTTTCTTCCACCTGTCATACACACACATCTGATATTTACATAAACAAGAAGAAATGAACGGGGAAACTGGAGCTCTGGGAGGAATTCCTTACCCTCAGCTTTTGACACAGTGGTTGAAGGAGGTACTATGCGGGCTTTCAAACTTCCCCAAATAACCCAGGCAGAGAGGCTGGGTGCGCGAACCTAACCCAAAAGTTGGCGCCCATTCTGGGTCTCTGAAAAAGGCCAGAAAGCCCTGTTGGGGAGATGAGATGCCTTCCACCCAGCAGCCACCCCCTCCCGAGGGAGCACAGCCCACGAGGGACAAAAGACTTTCCAGATTGATCGGGGGCGGGAGGAGGACTAGCTGGAGCTGGGATCCCCCCTCCGGAGCCAGAACCTGAGAAGGCTTTGGGGCAAGAAACGATAAATTATAGGCAAGAGCCCAACCCCAGATGCCGGGGCTGGGGTGAGGACGGGTCCTGCCCGAGAGGGAGCGCCGGACTCACCTGGAGAAGGCGAAGAGGGGGCCTCAGTGGCAGGTGGGGTTGGGGGGACGCTGCTGCTGCTGCTGCTGCTGCTGGGGAGATCGAGGGTCGGGGTCCGGGGAGTCGTGGGCGCCGGTACGGTGGTCGCTACAGGGGTGGTCGGCACGGGGCCAGTGATCGTCGAAAGGGTGGTCGGCGCGGGTCTGGTCGGCGCCTGAGAGGTGGTCGAAGTGCGTTCCGCCGCCGGAGGGGTAGTCGGCGAGGGGCCGAGCGGCGCCTGAAAGGTGGTGGAAGCCGGTCTGGCTGTCGCCCGAGGAGGGGTGGTCTCCGGGGACTGGGCTGGAGAAGTCGCAGCCAGGGGTCGGTGGACGGTGGTGCGCAGGGGCCCGGTCCTCGGGGCCTGGGCCGTAGGAGCCGTCGCCCTAGGGAAGGGGTGGCTGGGCTCGCCCCGCAACCCAGGGCCCGGCGACGCGTCCACCTGCCCTGCGGCCCCGCCGCCACCGGTGACATTCCCTGCCGAGGCGGCTGAGGCGGCGGCGGCGGCAGCGGCGCAGCACAACAGGGCGAGGCCGCCCAGGCTCGGCAGGCTCCTCATGGCGCGCTCGGCTCCGCCATTCATTCATTCAGCCAGTCGGTTGGTCAGTCATCTTCTCCTCGCTGCAATCCGACCGAGGAAGCATCCGCAGCCGCCGCCGCCACCGGGCGCACCATCGCCACCTCCCTCTGACAGGCGGCCGGCCCCGCGGGCGGGCCCCAGCACGGAGGGAGCAACCGGACCAAGCACGGACGGCCCGCCCTCCTCGATTGGCAGCCCCGCCTAACCAATGGGAGGCCAGGGTCGCCCACGTGATCCTCCCGCTTCCCGGCCTCTTTGTGGGCCCGTGGGCCAATCAGAGGACGTCCAGGAGAGGAGGCGGTCCGTTAGGCGGGAGAAGGGTGGTGCGAGCCCAGCTCCAGCCCGCCGGGCTCGCGGCGGCCCCGGCTTTGTCTGCCCAAGGAGTGGGGCGCGGGCCTGGGGCACCGGGCGCCGCGGAGCAGACAAAGGATGAGCCTCGCGCGGCCGACGCCGGGCCTAGTCATCTGCTCCACCGGGCTGCGAGCACGACCCGGGGGTGGATCAGCACTCGGGAGCGTCTCCGCCCTCCTGAACAATGGGGCGCCGGCGCCGTACCCCGGCTCGGGCGGGGACCACGCGGGAACCCCGCGATGGGAGAGGGCGGCGGCAGCGACGATGTAGAGCTTAACATGCCCTCTGCTGCTCCAGAGAGCCTGGTCGCAGCCTTGCGAGGTCTCTGCCGCCATTCCCATTTCAGAGATGGGGAAACTGAGGCCCTTGCTGAGGCCCTCTCTGAACCGAGACCCACGCCCTCACCAGAAACCTGCTGTGGGCCAGGTTGTGTGCCAGGCTGGACAAGGGGGCGGGACCGGGCGGTGGAGACCCCTCAGGGCAGAAGGTGCAGGCCTCCTGCGTGGAGGAGACAGTCTCGCAAGCACACTTCCCTAAACCCCAGAAAGAATAGGATCAGACAGGGTTGAACCTCAACTTGATGTCTCTTGCTGAATGGTTTTGTCGCTTGAGCGCGGTTTTTTCACCACTAAAATGGAGACGATAGGACACCCCTCACCCCGCTCACAGAGCTGTTGTGAGAATTAAGTCATGGACATAAAGGGTTTAGCTCAGCCCCTGGCCCACTGTTGTAACCCTCATTATTGCTAACTATTCTCAGCATTCTGCGCCAGGGCAAGCCTAGGATTAGAAAGCAGCCCCAGGCCACAGCCCTTCAGTGCCCCCAGAGTCTCCGGCTGATTGCAGGGATTGGGGTGGGGCTAATAGCCGAGCTTGACCCTGGGTGACATTAAACCCTGGATCAAGCTGGAATTCGGACACGCAGCCTCGCATCATCCGCCCAGGATCCGAGCTAGGTCAGGCGCTGCTGCTTCGGCTCAGCAGCTTCCAGGGGGACCAGGCAGGGCGGGTTTGTCATCTGATGGGGCTTAATCCAAGCCCCACTGCTAACCCAATCCCGGCCTCCCCTACGTGATGTTTGGCTTTGTGTATGGTTTCCCATTAGTCACTGGTCTTCAACCAGACCGGCAGGATGAGATTTATGTGTGAACTTGTGTATGTTAATGAAAGCATGCATTTATTTTCCTGCATGAACAGTGGGTGGGGGAGGCTGTGTATGAATGCATAAACATGTTTGTGAGTCTTGTGTGTATGAGTATTGTATGTATCTGCGTGAGTTTATGAGTATGGGAGATTGTATTGTATCTATTTTCATACATTGTGTCTTAATAATCTGTGCATGTGTACTGGTGTGTGTTTTTGAGTATTTTCTGTGTTTTTGCATTTGTGGTTATGTATGGGTGTGTCTTGATAGGTCTGTGTATATAAGACAGCGGGAATGAGGGAGAAGGTGAGTGTTCTGTCTTCAGGACCAATATTTAGCAAGCACTAACCAAGGTTCTATTTTTACTTTGCTTTGGAAGTATTCCCTTGTTGATCCTCCCTGGCCCTTCAAACCCCAACCAAAATACCACATTCTCTAAAAGACATTCCTGGATTTGAGTGGGAATTAATCTCTCCCTTCTTATTTCCCCACCACCCCTTGTTTATGCATTGATTACAGCCCTGATCTACCAATTTACCTCATCCTTGCCTCTTCCTAAAAGGATTAAGGATGGCTTTCAGAAATATATACAACAGGATAAATCGAATTGCCCACATGGCTTTATTACTTCTCATAGGCATGCATCAGCCTTAATACTAGAACTTGTTATTTATGTGTCTGTCTCTTACATCAGCTGTTCTCCCTGTTCTCAGTACCTAGCAGGGGTAACACATGTAAGTGCTAACCCATGCTGGTTAAATTGAATTAATTGAAGTCTTGTGGTGCTTGTGGGAGGAGCTTGTGTCTTTAGAGTCAGACAGACTTGGTTCGTGACTGCCAACTCTGTGACCTTGGAGGAAACCTTTCACCTCTCTGAGCCTCAGTTTTCCCCTTTTTTTTTTTTTTTTTTTTAATTTGAGACAGAGTTTCACCCTTGTCACCCAGGCTGGAGTGCAATGGCGCCATCTTGGCTCACTGCAACCTCTGCTTCCCAGGTTAAATCCATTCTCCTGCCTCAGCCTCCCGAGTAGCTGGGATTACAGGCACCCACCACCAGGCCCAGTTAATTCCTGTATTTTTAGTAGAGACGGGGTTTCACCATGTTGGCCAGGCTGGTCTCGAACACCTGAGATCAGGTGATCCTCCCACCTAGACCTCCCAAAGTGCTGGGATTACAGACATGAGCTGCCGCGCCAGGCCAGTTTTCTCATCTATTAAATGGGGCCAATAAATCGTCTCTCATTTGTTGAGCTAAGGATTGAGGAGAATGGTTTTACAGAGCCTAGCACACAGATAGTGCTCAAGGTGTGTAGGTTCATATTTTTGTTATACTATTGCTAACTTTGAGCCTTGTTGGCTGAAGGACCAGAGCAGAAATCCCTGCCCCGTAAGTTCCCCATCAGGTGACATGGCCTGACAGTTGCCCTACCTAATATTTCCAAATGATATCTGAAAAGTGCTGGGTTGGCCCTGAGCTTTGCTGTATCAGAGGTTCTCTGGCAAGGGGGAAAAAGCTGATGCAGCTTCTTGGCCAGGAGAGACACAGAGCAAATGACTAGAAGACCTTGTCTAGTGATTCAGGTCAGCTCTCTGCCTTAGGCAAGGATCATCCATGCCAGGGCTTTTAAGATGGGATAATTAGCCTGTAATATGTATAGAAAATATTGAATTTTTTGAAAGATATTAGTAATTTAAATGTATTAATGTCCATTCAACATTTAATTCTTAAATTTCCTTAATCTTAAATCTTCCTTAATCTCTAAACTACAAGATGACTTTCTTAGGAATTATGTTTGTGTTTAAAAATTGGAAACACTTTACATATCTGCCATCAGAGAAAGGTATTATTATACCAGTTAAACTTAATCATATAAAGTCATTGTACGTGTAGCTATGAGGACAGTATAGCAAATATTAATAGTAAATAATTGAGCTCATAGTCTGTGCTAGACACTATACCCAGAGCTACATATGAATTATTTTGTTTAATCCTAAGAACCCCAGGAAGTAGGTACTATTGTGTCTTAGTCCATTCAGGCTGCTGCAACAAAGTACTGTAGATTGTAGCTTGTAGACAACAAAAAATATATCTCTCTCAATTCTGGTGCCTGGGAAGTCCAAGATCAGGGCACCAGCAGATTCAGTGAGTTCCCTGGGTGTCCTTTAAAAGGACACTAATTCCATTCATGATGGCTCTGCCCTCATAACCTAATCACCTCCCAAAGGCTTCCAAATACTTTCACATGGGGTGTTAGGATTTCAACGTATGAATTTTAGAGGGACACAAACATTCAGTCTATAGTCTATTATTATCTGCATTTTACAGATAAGGAAACTAGGACGCAGGTTAAGCAACTTGCCCATGGTCACTTAGTAAATAATAGAGCTAGAAATCAAACTGAGGCTGGCTGGCTCCCACTGACACCCTTAACTATAAAGGGAAAATACTTATAATGGTAAGAAGAAAAGAAAAAAATTATAGCTGTGACACTCTGTGTAACAGAACATTAACTGGCACTTTTTCTGTTGCCCCAGAACTGTAGCTAAGGCCCATGAGACCTGGAGCCAAAGGCTTAGGGAAGGACCACAGAACAGCAGGAGTCAGAGAGGGCCTTGTTGGAGCCAATGTGCAGCCTGACTTTTCTCCTAGGCAAAGGAGATGCTGTAAAGGGCCCCATCTGATTTCTCACTTTATAGTCAGCACCTAGCACAGTGTCAAATACGCAGAAATGGCTCAAGAATTGTCTGTGAGCCAGGCACGGTGGCTCACGCCTGTAATCACAGCACTTTGGGAGGCCAAGGTGGGCGAATCACAAGGTCAGGAGTTCAAGACTAGCCTGGCCAGGCTGGGCACGGTGGCTCACGCCTGTAATCCCAGCACTCTGGGAGGCCAAGGCGGGCAGATCAGGAGGTCAGGAGATTGAGACCATCCTGGCTAACATGGTGAAATCCCATCTTCACTAAAAATAGAGAAAATTAGCAGGGTGGGTGGCGGGCGCCTGTAGTCCCAGCTACTCGGGAGGCTGAAGTAGGAGAATGGCGTGAACCTGGGAGGCAGAGCTTACAGTGAGCCGAGATCATGCCACTACACTCCAGCCTCGGCGACACAGCAAGACTCTGTCTCAAAAAAAAAAAAAAAAGAAGAAGACTAGCCTGGCCAACATAGTGAAACCCCATCTCTACTAAAAATACAAAAAAGTTAGCCAGGTGTGGTGGTGAACGCCTATAATCCCAGCTACTCAGGAGGCTGAGGCAGGAGAATTGCTTGAACCTGGGAAGCAGAGGTTGCGGTGAGCCGAGATTGTGCACTCAAGCCTGGGCAACAGAGCAAGATTCCATCTTGAAAAAAAAATTTTTTTAATTGTCTATGAAGTCTTATGATGTGGCAGATGCTGTTCCAGGAGTTTTACATTCATAACACATTTATTCCTCAAAGACAAGGCTATCATCTGCACTTCAAAGAAGAGGAAACTGAGCCTCCAAGAGCTTAAGGGACTTACTTGCCCAAGGCCCTTGTGACTCAAAAGCCCAGGCTCTTCTCTATCACTACAGTCCATTAATGTGGCCGCTATGTGTTGCACATAGTAGGAGGTCAGTGAACACATACTAAAAGAAAGGCTACACATGCACCAAATTTAACCCTTCTGCTAGAAA